TAATTAATCTTCTTGGGCGGAATAGAAGCGCTCATTAAGTCTTGATTGAAATTAAACGCTGACACACATTATTGTTCTGCCCCGACTACTCAAAACCCTTTGGCTTTGTACGTCTGCAGATACATACATACAAATGCAGCCAAAAGCACTTAGGTACAAACCGCAATGAAATACAGTTGGGGGGACTTCATTTCGTATGAAAGTGCGTGAAGAAGAGATCCGTAGGTCGATCTCACCAGATGAGGACGGATGAATCCCGTTGTACTGCAGCCGTTTGGCTTTTATACGACGTCCATGAAGAATGAATACTCAGCCCAGTTTCATCAGAATAGGAGTACATTGCGTAAACTGTATCAACCATAACGTCATAGCGATATAAAAAGGAGTACAGAACAACTGGATTCAGTCTTCTTTTGATGAGGCCCTTGTACATAAAAAAAATTCGTTAAAGCAATTAAAAACGTCAAATTACTTGACAAAACTCGCAAGAATCCGCTTTTGTGAGTACTACTTACTAGTCTGGACATCAGATAAACTATATAGGTTTGTAGAAGTGGGTTGACCTCGTTGTCGCAACTTAGTCTTGCGGTGAGGGAGACTATGTAGAACGCACCTAGTCCGAATTCGTCTGCCATAGTAGTTGTCATGACTCCTAGCATCTGATAGTGGACTTGATACATTCTCAAACGTTTCGCCGGCATCATCAGTGAGCTTTGCCATTCGCCGCAACAAGCCACGAACTCGTCAAGAGACAAGTGAAGTCACGAAACGTTTGAGAATGTATCAAGTTCAATGTCAGATGCTGGGAATCATGAAAACTGCTATGGCAGACGACTTCGGACTAGGCGCATTCTACATAGTCTCCCTGACCACAAGACCAAGTTGCGACAACGAGGTCAACCCACTTCTATAAATCTAAGGGAGACTGCGACCATACCAGGGGCCACAACATCTTGGTCTTCATATCTTTATATAGCTTTGGCCATGTTGGCCGAACATCCATGCAAATAGAGCGGGAATGTAGATTCATTTTGACAAGACTAAAGCTTCAATCGCATTCCAATGACTGTACGAGTCAATGAACAATTATAGTGGCTTGGATTAGTATTGGAGTAGCCGGCTCTCTTCTGAAGAGGCATTTAAGCCTCACCATCAATCCTCCATCCATGTCCGGTTCAGCCGCCTTTTCAGAATAAGGTGAAAGGTAAGTAAGAAGTAAGAAGTGTTTCGAAGCTCACCTTCTCTTCATGCACAACAGGCCATAAATGAAGAGATGAATCTATGAAAGAAACGATTTCATGAAAATGAACTTATCAAGAGTGAAGCAGGAGCTGGCCAGGTTAATACTTGGGATGATAGGTTCAAATGGAAGTGATGATTTTGTAATAGAGCCAGTAAAAATGTACCAAAAGCTGATGGCTATGAGCAAAGGATGGATGTTCGTCTCACCCAGCCAGTTGAGCTTCAGTTGTGGTGCTCGGCGGAGGCGCAGGAGGGCCAGTCTGAGGAGCCCATGCTGGTGGAGACGCCTGAGAAGGTAGATCCAAGAGGCCTGGTCTTGGTGCAGTCTGCCTAGGCTCGTCTCTGTCAGTCGGCAGACGCCAGGACCTCGGTAGTGCAGAACAGGCCTGATCGGACGTAGAGTCAACTGATCCGGACGCCTTGGAGGGACTGGAACTAGCCGACTTGGACACGGTGGTGAGCGCCGAATCGGCAAGCGATGGACACGTCTTGGAGGGTCCGGATGATGAAGTAGCCAAAGCCGCTTCCGATGTGCTGATGGCGATGGCGTGCGATCCAGCCGACTGAGAATCGAGAACCGCTATGTCAAGCTGGCCCTGGCGATAGGCGTCGAAAAGCCTAAATGCAGCCCCTTCGTCTTCTTGACTTTGGCTGAACAGAAGAGCCTAAAACATGATTTTTCGAATCATCATGCTAGCAACAGTGAACTGAGCGAAATAAGTGCACTAAACTCGAATGAAATATTGTTGGAGAGACTTTTATTTCGTGTGAAAGTGAATGAAGAGATTGGAAGGTTGATCTCACCAGAAGACGACGGCAGATTTCCGTTGGACTGCAGCCGTTTGACTTTAATACAAATGCTATTTCACGAGACTCATCGAAACCCAGTTAATCTGATTGTGAAGAATAAAATAGCTGGAAGTTTATTTCTATTATAAACGAATGCAAACAGAGCATTAAAACAGGCATGCGGCAGGAGGCGAACGAGAAGTGAAGCGGAATAAATGTGCTTCAAAAGTAGGTTCGTCTAGAAGTGATTTGAACCTGCATTCTAAAATCTAACAGATTTTAAGATAGGCCTAATTGAGCACACCTTGTGCGAACTCCTCTATCATAGAAGCCATGAGTATTTCCTCCGTCGGACCACGGACTAGGCGTTCCAGACGTTCCGCAGGAATCACCAGTGAGTCTCGTCAGTCTCAGCGCAAAATCCTAATCTTACAAAGAGACACGAAGTCCATCCTTTGAGCAACTTCTCTATATATTCTGATACGCTCACTTACCCCATATTCTCATTTCCCTCTCTTCAAGATCACATCTTGCAACTTGCTTATCTTCACAGACTCAAGAGAGGTTGATCCTTTCAGTATGTAATCTAGTTCATCTAGATCGTGTCGAAGACTCTTTCTTGACCTGGAAGATCCATCTCTAACCTCGCCAGTTGACTGATCTTACTCTGTACCTCTAGAGACATTATTTACCATTGAATATATGAAGACCAAGATGTTGTGGCCTCTGGTGTGGTCGCAGTTTCCTTCCAATTGATAGAACTGGGTTGACCTCGTTGTCACAACTTGGTCTTGTTTTCAGAGAGACCATGTAGAACTCAGCGCATATTATTTACCATGATACTCCCAGAATGCGTGATAGCACGTATACTCACGCCTCACCGAGCGGACCCTAAAGCCTGTACTCTTAAGCTGGATACAAAACCGACCCAACAACTGTACATTCCTTTATGTCTATTTAGCCTGTGTACCGGCTGAATCTCGTCTTTACTTCGTGAACCCCTTCTATGGTCAAACCAGCGCATTTTGAGCCAACTGTCTTTGGTCTCCATAACATCTCTTGAGTGGGGCCTGGTCCATTTGGCTTAGGGCTTATATCCATTATTTGAATTTGTCAAAAATTTTATGTTGAACAATCATGGAAAAAACATCTTCGCCCCATGATAATTATACAAAGGGTAAATAAAGGAAGGCACTAATCAAGGTCTGGAATGAATAACAAAGCATAAATGAACAATCAATGAACTAAAAAGGCAGAGGGATCCAAATAACTCAAGATATATATTTATACATATATATTTAATTGTATATAAATAATTAAATATAAGTAAATCACAAAAATAATTAATTAATTAATATTAAGCAAATATTAATTGCATATTAATAAAAATAAAAATATGAGCACATAAAGGAGAAATAAAATCGAGTAAAAAATTACATTCTAAATACAAAATACCTAAAAAATTACGATCATCGTTATACATTGTGATAACGAGGTAAGACTAACCTCAGACTTTGATGAGCACAGGCTCTGGGCTAGATTCTGTAACTTCTTTCTCTTGGAATCAGTCTCCTCAGATGGTTCCATGACGACCCTCTAAGTTTGATAAGCATATAAACACGTCTGAAATAAAAAAGAGAAGAATTAGTAACACATGATCAAAGCAATTAAGTAAATATCTGAAACCTATTGTGGTTTAATGCGAAAATAAAGACCTTCAAAAGTTTGAAAATGAAATATGCATGCCTGATAAATGCGAGAAACTAAATAAATTAAAATAAGCTTCGAAGATATAAAGAAAAACTGGGTTTAAAAATATGCATTAGTGATATCACTTTCCATTTTGAGAGAAAAGTTAATTGGAAGGAATTCGTGATGTGGTCTCACAATACAACAGTCTTTCGTACACAGCAATCCTCCATCCGTTTCCAGCGAGAACACATCACGAATTCATTCCCACCTACTTTTCCTTCGAAATGGAAAGTCATGTCACAATAA